GGGCAGGCTTCCGGCAGCTCGCTGCTCGGCAGAGCTCTGCGCTCTGACCTGCCCGCTCCGCTGGAGCGGAGCCTGTCACGAGACACCTGGCACTGCCGCCCCGGCAGGGCTGTGCAGAGGAGGCCAGGAGGGACGGTCTGGATGCTGCAGTAGCTCTGGTGGGTTCAGATGCTCTGCCAGCACAGGGCTGGCTGTGAGGTCAGAACGCCTCCGGGCAAGTTGCTGGCTGGGGTCAGGGTGTCCGGGGAGCTGCTGGCACAGGCACAAGCTGCTGAGGGGGTGGCCACGGGCAGCAAGGGAGCCTCATGCCCTCTCTGCCTCCAGGTGCAGTGGCTGGAGCAGCAGGTGGCAAAGCGCAGGACCAAGCGAGACATTTTCATGGAGCCCACGGACCCCAAGTTCCCACAGCAGTGGTACCTGGTGAGTGCCAGGCCGGGGCTGCGCACTGCCGGGCGAGGAGGGGAGCTGTGCAGTGACAACAGCAAGTTCTGGGCTGGTGGACGTGGCACCCGAGGGATGGCTGCTGCTCCAGCCAGGCTGGCGGGGAGGAGGAAGGCCTGAGGCAGCTGCCCGGTGCTGTGGATCCGGGGACACTCCAGGGAAGAGGCTGTGCTCATGGAGCTGTGGCTCCCTGTGGGGGTGCTGGCAGGGCTGGGGAGAGCCTGGCGCTGCACTAGGAGGGAGCAGCCCTTTGCCTGGCCCAGGAATGGGGTCTGTGCCCGTGTCTGTCTGCGTTGTCAAGCTCGGGTACAAGCCGGCTCTCTGTGAAGGGAGCTGTGTTTATGGGGCCCAAGCACAGTCTGGGGCTCGGTCTCCTTTTGGAGTGGACTTCCTCGGGTGGCCGTGCCCACCGCTCTGTGCCCAGGTCCCCTGGGATTTCCTCGTCTGCATGCCACAGCAGAGGGGGGGAAGGCTGCCGCTTGCCCACCCTTACAGTGGGGCTTGGGAGGGGTCCGGGCACACCCCCACTGCAGTGCCAGCAGCTGGGTACAGCTCCTACGCCAGGGCTTCTCTCGGCAGTACAACACAAACCAGCGGGACCTGAATGTGCGTCAGGCCTGGGAGCAGGGCTACACGGGCAAGGGCATCGTGGTTTCCATCCTGGATGATGGCATTGAGAAGAACCACCCTGACCTGGAAGGCAACTATGTAAGTGTGGGGCGATGCCACAGGGTGGTGTGCCACAGGAGCCTGTCCGGGCGGCTGCGTCTGCTCGGTGCAGCTACGTGGTGCAGGGCTCGTGCTCAGCCCAGCCTTAGGGCTGTGGAGCACAGGCATGGCCGTAGGGCGGTGGGACTCGGTGGGCAAGGTGGACGGTCTCTGAACTGCCAGGTCTGTCTTCCAGGATCCAGGGGCGAGCTTTGATGTCAATGACCAGGACCCAGACCCACAGCCCCGCTACACGCAGATGAACGACAACAGGTGAGGCAGGAGGCAGAGGCAAGGGCAGCAGAGCCCAGCCGTGGCAGGGACTTGGTGGCAGTGCCGTCCCTCATGGACTGTGGGAGCGTGCCGTGGTGGTAGCATGGTTCTGTCCCACAGAGGAACCCCCTGCCTCCCTCTCTGACGCAAGCAGCATGCTGCAGGGCTGCCCAGCACCAGTGCAGGCTGTTCAGCCCACCCTGCTCTGGAGCAGGAGGGTAGATGGGGGAGCTCTGTGGGGCTTTTGTGGGCCACCTGGTTCAGGAAGGATGGGAGGCAGCCTGAGCGCTGGTCCCTCCGGCTGCAGCTGGTGCCCAGCCCTGTGCTCCTTTCGCCCCATCTGAGCACACTTGGTCCTGTTTTGATTGCAGACACGGCACACGCTGCGCTGGGGAAGTTGCTGCCGTGGCAAACAACGGGATCTGCGGTGTTGGCGTGGCTTACAACGCCAGGATCGGAGGTGGGTGCCCCCCTGCCCTGCACCTAGAGCAAAGCCTGTGCTGGGCTCTGCAGGTGCCTCGCAGGCAGAGGAGCAGGCTGTGCCAGGGATCTCGGCGCTGCTGGCCAGGGTATCACTGTAGTGGCCCGTGGCACAGGGCGGCAGCAGCGGACAGAGGGCTCTCGCCTGTGGCACTGCTGCCCTGCGGTGCATGGTCGCTGTGCCCCGTCCGGTCGCCCGTGACGTCTGCTCTCTGGCCCTAGGCGTGCGCATGCTGGATGGGGAGGTGACTGATGCTGTGGAGGCCCATTCCCTGGGCCTCAATCCCAACCACATCCACATCTACAGTGCCAGCTGGGGCCCTGAGGACGACGGCAAGACTGTGGATGGCCCGGCCCGGCTGGCAGAGGAGGCTTTCTTCCGAGGGGTCAGCCAGGTGAGCAGGAGAGTTTGCCTGGGGAGTGCCGGCTGACCTCCTGTCCCTCCCCCCAGGTCTCCCTTGCTCTGCCTGCCCTGGTTGTGGTCCTGGCCCTCTCACGATGAGCTGTCTTCCAACCCATCTCCAGGATCAGGCTCTGTTGGTTTTTCCTGTTCTTCCTGCGCAATGGCTCTGAGTCAGGGCTCCTCCCATGCAGGGCGCTTATCTCGCCTTTCTGAGGAGCCCTCTCCTCCCTGCTAGGAGGGCTTCCACGCAGCCCCATGCTGGGACGGTCTCACGCCGCTCTCTGAGGCCCTGTGCTGGCTCCTGCTTCGTTTCATGCCAGCCGCTCACCCTCGCTTCCCCCCCCCCTCCTCACCCTGCTGTCCCCATGTGCTGTCAGTGCAGCCTGTGCCTTGGGGTGACCGTGGCGCAGCCAGAATGGTTCAGCTGTGCCCCGTGTTGTGCCTCAGATTGCCTGCACAGGGAGACGCGTGTGCTGTGCGAGGCGTGCTGGCAAACCCACCCCACTGTGCATGCCGGATCTCTCACACACTCTATGAGTGGAGCTGTGGCTTCTGGGTGCCGAGCAGCCGGTCGGGACTGCTCTGCCGAGCTCCCACAGCACTGCCAGGCAGCTGCAAATCCCACACAGGCAGTCAGCGTGGGTGATTTCCGAGCAGAAAAAGACATCAGTTTGTGGAAGCCACACTTCAGCAGGGCCTCCTGCTGCCCAGTGCCTCACCTGTTGGGGCAGCCTCTGCAGAGCTGCCTTGGCATCTCCGTCGGCATGGCAGTGGTGAGGGATTGGGGTGCCGGGTGCCCAGGCCGGCGTGCTGACCGGTGGCATCCTGCTGTCCCCCAGTGTCCCAGCTGCATCTGCTCAGTCTTTCCCACTCAGGCTGCAAGAGCCTTGGGGCCAGCACTGTCCCCTCATCCCCGGCTCCGGCCTGGGACTTCTCACCCTGTGGCAGCATGGGTGATGCCGGTGCTGGCCCTCACCCTGCCTCTGTTACTAGGGCCGAGGGGGGCTGGGCTCCATCTTCGTCTGGGCGTCTGGTAACGGGGGCCGCGAGCACGACAGCTGCAACTGTGATGGTTACACCAACAGCATCTACACGCTGTCCATCAGCAGCACTACGCAGTACGGTAACGTGCCCTGGTACAGCGAGGCCTGCTCCTCCACCCTCGCCACCACCTACAGCAGCGGCAACCAGAACGAGAAGCAAATTGTGAGTTGGGGCTGTTGGTGTCTGCGGGATGGGGCCTCCTTGGGGGTGGGATGTGCCATGAGCTGCGGTCACTGTAGGTGTCCCTCTGGGAGCCAAGCGGGCCACAGTGCTGGAAGCAGGGCTGGCCCCGCTGTGCCGTGCTGCCGCCTGCCAGGTTGCTCCTGGGGCTTGGCCTCGTGAGTTGAGGAATTCTGGGGGGGAAGCTCGTGAGCTGCCCCAGGAGCGGTGGCTCTGTCTCACCTCTCTCAGCCCTCATGGGGACATGAGTCCCCGAGCTGGCTCCTGGACGTGGCCAGCGCCCGCAGCACCTCTTATCCTGGCACTCCCCCTTGCAGGTGACGACTGACCTCAGACAGAAATGCACCGAATCCCACACAGGGACGTCGGCCTCAGCACCCCTGGCCGCTGGCATCATTGCTCTTGCCCTGGAAGCCAAGTAAGGGCAGGCACAGAGTGGGGCTGGGCTGGGGTGGCCATGCAAACCCTGTGGGGCAGCGGCACCTGGGCATGGACCCACCTGGAGCCAGGGGGAGCCGGGTGCCAGTGCCTGAGCCCTGTGTCTCCCCACAGCAAGAACCTGACCTGGCGGGACATGCAGCACCTGGTGGTGCAGACGTCGAAGCCGGCCCACCTTAATGCCAATGACTGGGTCACCAACGGTGTTGGCCGCAAAGGTATCGGGGTGCTGGGGATGGACCAGGGGCTCCTGTTCCCACAAGCACCGCTAGCCCAGGGGTGCAGGGGCAGAGCACCCCAGCAGCTCTGAGGTGTGGCGGAGTCAGGAGGCCCTGGTGAGCCATGCAGCATGGCCGGGCACATGTCCCCTGCTGGGCATCCCTGGCCCTGGAAGTGGCACTAACCCTGTCTCTGTCCACAGTCAGCCACTCCTACGGCTATGGCCTGCTGGATGCCGGGGCCATGGTGAGCCTGGCCAAGAACTGGACCACGGTGGGACCTCAGAGGAAGTGCGTCATCGATGTCCTCACGGAGCCAAAGTAAGGGCTGGTGAGCCCAGGAGGGCATCAACCAGTGTCCACCCCATGCACGGCCCTTTGCCAGAGCCCGGGTGCCTCTGAGCCCAGGACGAGGACTGGGGAGGATCTCTGGGGCTGAGCTGCCCCTGAGACCCTCGACACTCCTCCTGCAAGAGCTTGGGGGGAGCTGGGAAAGCCACCTTCAGCCATCCAGCGCCGACGCTGACTGCGGAGCCTGTCCGCTCCTGCTGGGGCCAGGCGAGCGCAGTGGGGGTGCGGGCAGGCCGGGACACTGCGGTTTGGGAGCAGCCAGCGCGAGTCATCCTCAGACAGAGGGGCTTTTCAGGGGTCAGACAGAAGCTCCTTTTACTCCAGCTTGGCTGCTGCCACCACAGCGCAGCGTGTGCCGAGTCTCGTGTGCGGCCGGGGCGCTCCCTGGGGGCTCTCGGGGTGTGGCATCCCTGAGCACGGAGGGAGTCGAGGATGGGTCCTGCCTCTGCCTGCTGCCCTGCCCTGGTCCCCTGGGACCCAGCCCTGCCCATCCAGAGCGGGCACTCCTTGTGACCAGCATCCTGCGCTGGCACCAGGGCTGGCGCCGCAGGCAGCTGCAGAGGGGACGGCTGCAGACAAGCAGTGGGTTGGGGACGGCCGTGCCTGTCCCGTCCCTGGCCCCACCATGCAGGGTGGAGCCGGCGCCGCGGCGGGCGAAGAAAGGGCCCATTCAGGGCTGGCACGGAGCGGCCGCCGGGCAGGCGGCGTCGGGCAGCGTGTGCTCGGCAGAGCAAACCCGATCATGCCCGGGAGCTGGGGCTGGTCCGTCTGCTGCCTGCGCCTGTCCAGGGATGGGGATGGAGAGGAGGCGCCACCAGCCGCTGCGAGATTGACTCCCAGGGCAGCCACAAAGCCCCGCAGCAGGGAGCAGTGGCCAGGGTGCCCTGTCACGTAGGACTGGGCTCACTCCTGCCTGTCCTCGGCAGGGACATTGGGAAGCGCCTGGAGGTGCGGCGGAAGGTGGACGCCTGCCTGGGAAAAGCCAACTACATCAGCCGGCTGGAGCACGCGCAGGCCAGGCTGACGCTGTCCTACAACCGGCGGGGGGACTTGGCCATCCATCTTGTCAGTCCCATGGGCACCCGTTCCACCCTCCTGGCTGCCAGGTAGGTGTTGGGCTGCGGGGCAGCCCCAGGACCGGGCTGGCACGAGCAGGTTTGGGGAGCGCTGTCACCCACCTCTCGTCCCACCTCTCCCAGGCCCCATGACTTCTCGGCTGACGGCTTCAATGACTGGGCCTTCATGACGACGCACTCGTGGGACGAGGATCCCTCTGGGGAATGGGTGCTGGAGATCGAGAACACCAGTGATGCCAACAACTACGGTAGGGCTGGGCCAGCCTCACCCCCACCGCTGCCTCCCTCCAAGCCCGGGGCGGGAGCAGGAGCAGCACGTGTGCCCAGTGTCCCCCCAGCACCCGCGAGCAGAGGGGCCGGTGGCACCTCGGATGCTTTGCGGTGACCTGGCTGGGGAGAGGCTGGAGGTGGGGACACGGGGAGGGGATGGGGCTGCTCCGGGGTGGCGGGGGTCTGGGGTAGGAGCCCCCAGAACCAGCTGGCCTGGTCCCCCCATGCTGTGGGCAGCTCTGTGCAGGTGCATGGTCGCATGGTGGGGGCTCTGCCAGGCAGTGGGCACAGCCCCACTGTCCACTGACAGCCCTGACCAGTCCAACCCCCCTCCCTGTGCCTGTCCCAAGCACGTGTGGGCACACCACTCATCCTCACCCTGGCTTGTTGCAGGCACGCTGACCAAGTTCACGCTTGTGCTGTATGGGACCGCCACCGACTCCCCCAGCCTCTCGAACCAGCTGGAGAGCAGCGGCTGCAAGACCCTGACCCCCAGCCAGACCTGCGTGGGTGAGTGTGGGGCCGGCGGGGAGGGGACG